ATGTGGGTTAATGAAGAGATGGATTATTGTGATAAGTGTGAATAATAATGTGAAATTGAATTAGATGCTCACTTGGGTAATGCACAGTCATAAGCCTAATGTGTTGATTGTGATAATAAATAATGAAAATGTAACTAAAAAGTGAGCATCGTACATGGCATGATCAATGGGCAAGAGTTTGCCTTAGGGTTGGGATTAGAGAAAATCCATATGGTATTTTGTTTGCCCTCCGATGCACGAGGGTATAGCCTTATCCCACAGTCTGTCAAGGGACTATTCTATAGTTTATCGAGGGACTAGAACTTAACTTTCTCTACCAGTTCATCGAGGAGATAGCTTAGGTATACGGCACCCTAGGTGTAATATCTCACTTTACTAAACATAATTAACTAATAAAACACGTATTAATTAAAGGATTAACCCATCAAGGTGATTACCAAATTTTAATTCAAAATCAAGGAATCCCAGGTTTTCTTAATCAAAATGGGTTTAAAGCAATCATGAACTAGTATATTAAAGTACAAATAAGTTATGGAAGCATAGGATACCTCAAAGGAGTAAAGAAATTAAAAATAGTTAAAAAACAACTCATTTGCTGTGAAACATGGTAATGCGCCACGGCATGTTGCTCTCTGTGCTATGAGCCATGTGGCACCGCAATGTGTTGCACGTAAATGATAGTAGATTTTGCTAGTACTTGATGGCAGAATCAAAGAATTTTTGATGTGTCTTGATTCTCCGTTTGACATCCGAATGACTTGATCTAGGTGTCTACGAAAAGCTCTTTTCATAAAATAACTAATGGCATGAGTTTCACTTCCAAAATTAGTCACACTAGGAAGTTAGACACCCAAATATTTTAACCACTTTTCACAACAAAGGATGTCTAAAACCCAAAACAAGTGCCAAAAGCTATTCTTAACACCCAGACCATATACATTAGACCTAGGACTTTCAGTACAACACATCACACATACTTAAATACCAGTATAGCATAAAATCACTCCTTAACCCCTTTTTCACCAAAAACAAAAGGGCAGGTAATTTTATTGCATTTACTCATAAATCAATCATGACATGTTTAAAATGCCATTTTGACACTTGTACTAGTATTTTAGCCTTATCAACATATATCTCTCTCCATACACAATTACTTAGGGCTCAAAATACAATTCAGACATTTACAACAACAAAATAGTACAAGTACACAATATGCAATGTAGAATTGGCAACCATATTCTATTACATAAAATAAATATAAACTAGAGGCATACAGTAGGAATGAACTAATTCCTAGCCTTTTAAGCCTTCTCCCTTTCTACATCAGAACTAGAGCCTATAAAGTGTTAAATAAAAAGGGTGAGTATAGCTACTCAGTAACTAAGGTAAAACCTACCCTATGCAGTTATATATATATAATTTGTAAATTAGACATATGCATATGAAATCAAGTTCTTAAAACTTGCTTTATCACATATCATAACTTATTAATCTAGTTAACACATTTCATCTCACATATGCTAGGTACGTAATCACAAGACACTCAGATATGTGATCATGACTTGCCACCCACGCGACTTACCACAATTTAAAACATATGACATGTTATATACTTACATAAGCAAAGATCAACCAACCTTATACTCTCCTTATTTTCTCAGACTAAAACCATAGGCTATAACATTGAATAAGGCTCTGTCCATGTGACTGAACTACCCAAGCTCATTAATCATGAGGTGTGACCCAGCCAAAGATCACATGATTCACTCTCGGACCACGGCTTCCCCCACTCTCGAATCTCTGGGGCGTCTCATATCCTAAGCTATTCTCCTCATTAAACTAGTGGAGAAAGCTAGATTATAGTCCCTAGACAAACTATAGGACAGTCCCTAAATAAATTGTGAGATAAGGCTATAACCCTGTGCACTGAAGGGTAACCTAAATACCATACGAATTTTTCTCTACTCCTGATCCCAAGGTGAACTCCCTCCTACTGATCATACCATATACGATACTCACTCATTTTCACAGTTTCATTTATTCAATATCAAAGTCAACATGTTGGGCTCACGACTAAGTACTACCCAAGTGAGTATCAATTCTTATTTTCACTTATATCACACATAAAACCTATCATTTTCAATCTCATATATTTATCTCATTATCAATAACTCATCCTAAATCATGTTATAAAAATGCCAATCATTTCACAAGCATTTTTCACATGTTTCATACACATAAAAGCAATGATATAATCACCAAACTTCAATGCATGATACACCATTCACAAATCACAATTTGCATGTTTAACACATAATTATCCTCATATTACAATTAATAAATAACTACCTAAAATAGGGTTCCCCTAGTTACCTCAAACCTTTGAGAGATCAAATGTTTACCCTTTAATATTATAGCTTTCAAACTTGAATTTCCAAGCTAAATTGGTGTCTAAGAGCTTAATCTACAATTTAACAAGTTGATCTCCATTAATATTGCCAAACTCAAGTATTCAACTCTCATTTCTCCACTTTTAAATTTCCTATGCCCTCTTTACATGAGTTTAAGCCTATCTATTAGGTTTATTAACTATCTTTAGTCTCCATTAACATTAATGAGTCATTAAACTCTCATTAATAGCATCACACTCTTCCAACAACCCATATTAATGCAATTTTTGCATATTTATGAAGCCCAACAAACCAAGACACCATAATTCATTATACTTAGGCTTAGATACTCCAATCTACTCCTATTAACTCTATTTGAGTCAATAGATTCAGACCCATAACCCATATGGATTAAAAATTATCTTTTACTATCAAACCCTAACTATAAACTTCATAATGTGGAAGAAAATAAGAGATTAAGAAGCATGATACTTACCTTGGGTGTTTGTAGCTTCCTAAAATAATCCCAATGTTGTCCAAGAGTGAACCCTAGTAGAGCTTGATTGCTGGTTCATGTTCTCTCCTTCATTCTCTCTATTTTTTGTCTCAATTCACAACTGATAAACTGCAAAAAATGACCATGCACCATGACAGATACGCCATAGCACATGGCACAAAGAGGTTCCCTTTCTCACATTTAAAGTATCTGTGCGCCATGACAAATACACTTCATCCTGTGGTGTGTGGCATATCAACACTAGCCCTTTATTTTCTTTTCCTTTTGATGCTCGGGTAGCCTGACTTGATACTGAATCCACAATTTAGGCTAAAACATAAACAATATGGTCATTAGACCTCTCTACTACACACCACCTTAACTTACTTAATTATCCCAATTAGGTTTAGTTAATCAGGGGATTAAAATTCAGGATGTTACACTAGGGATTTGAAAGTGGAGGAAACCGTGGTTTGAGAGTAAGTAATGTGATTTTTAGCTGGGTCATACCTCATGATTGGTGAGCTTGAGTCATCCAGTCACACAGACAAAACCCTATTTATTATTATAGCCACGGTTTTATTCAGAGGAAATAAGAAAGATATATGGTTGGTCGATCATTACCTATGTAAGTATATGATATGTCACATCTTTGAGTTGTGGTAAGTTGTGTTGATATATCAGCTCATGATCACATATTTGAGTGTCTTGTGATAGTATACCTTGTGAAGAAATAAAAATGAGCTAAATGAGTAATGATAAGCTATAATATGTGTGTAAACATGTTTTAAGAACTTGATTTCATATGCATGTGTTTTATTACAATTGGTATATAACTATATAGAGTAGGTTTTTACCTTGGTAAGCTAGATTCACCTCTTCCATTTAACATACGAGCTTTAACTCTGGTGTAGAGAGAGAGAAAGCTCAGGAGGCTTAGGAATTAGTACATTCCTACTGTATGCCTCTAGTTTATGTTCATTTTGTGTAATAGAATATTATTGCCAATTCTAGGTTGCATTTCTAGTTACACTTACACTATATGGATTATTTCAATGTCTGAATTATATTTTGGGCCCTGAGAATTGTATGTGGTAAGTTGTATATATTGATAGGGCTAAGATACTAGTGCAAGTATAGAAAGATTGTTTCAAACATGTTATAATTGATTTTGATGCAATATAATGAATTACTTCCCCTTTCTGTTTTGGTATAAAAGGGGTTAAGGAGTGATTTTGTGTTATACCGGTAATTGTGTGCATATGACATGTTATATAATAGTCCTAGGTTCAATGAATATAGTCTATGCATTAGAAATAGCTTTTGGCACTTGATATGGGTTTTGGACACCCTTTTATGTGTAAAAGTGGTGAAAAGTGATAAAAATATGTTTGGGTGTCCATCTTCCTAATATAATTTGTTTTAGAAGTGGAAAGAGCTTTCCATAGAAACCTAGATCACGTCGTTCGGACGTCGACTAGAGATTTGAAGCATGTTAGAAGCTCGTCGATTCTACTATCAAATGACAGCAGAACTTGCTATTAAAAATGTGCAACATATCGTGGCGCATTGATGCTTGAGCTACAATACATGGCACAGAGAGCAACATGCCGCGGCGCAGTATGTACAAGCCATAGCACATTACCTTGTGTTGTAGCAAACAAGTTGTTTTGAGATATCTCATGCTTTTGTAACTTATTTTTACTTTGATATAAGAGTTTATGCATGGTTTAAAACTCATTTTGATTGTAAAAACTTGAGATCCCTTAATTTTTGAATTAAAACTCGGTAATCCCTCTATGGATTAACCTTTTTGATTTCTAAGGATTTTATTAATTAATTGTGATTAATTTGTGAGGATATTTCATACACCCATGAACATTATGTTGACATGCTATGTGTAACTTATACATTTTAACCTATGGATCAACTGGACATGCATGAACATTCAATTGAAAATCTATGAATATCATGCTGTGCATCCATTAACATTGTGTTGTGTATGTAACGATATTGTCATCAAATACTTGGACACTTAATAATTTCATTTCATTTTCATTGAAGTATATACATAATTCCAACTACAAACAAAAAATCAATTCCAAATAAAAAAAAGCATATTAAAATATATACATTATCTAACTAGAAAAATATAATTCCATAAATATATGATTTTTCTTTTCCTTTGCTTCCTCCTGTAAGTGCATGGGGGTATTCACCCATGACATTATTAGGATGCTCCACTAGCCAGCATAAAATATCATACCTCATACCTGATAGTTCTTGGGCTATGTATTTACACATGGTAAATAGAGGATGGTCAACATTCACTATATTATTTCAAAATTTAAGCCATGTAATGAGATAAACTCCACAATCATCACTGCACAGACTGCATAACAAAGTGAGATATGAATCAACATTTGTTTTTTTAAAAAGATTAATATGTTATACCAACATAAATTAATTGGTGTCTTACTTGAATAAATGTGGAAAAATTATGTCAATTTTGCACTTCACCTTAGATAGTTTTGGCTTTACCTTAAGCAATATTGATCTGAAATATTCTCTCTACAAAGGAAATATGTCAGGCAACATACATGAAAAGGTTCGCAAATTCACAAGTAAAAGTTCAATGATTCACAAGTCAATATTCATAATTGATAAGTTGATATATTAGAGCCTACAATATTTGCACCTATCATTGTTTAGCCCTTGTACACTAGATCCATGAGGCATTTTTTCCCAACTTCCCCTTCCCCTTCTTTCATGCTTTTCTCATCTCTTCCTCCTTAGCCTCCAATTAGTCATGATTAATCAAAGAATCAAGAACATAAAACTTCATTGTCTTTAGCTCCATGACAAAGCAAAAAAAACTAGTGTCCAATAACTATAAGACCAAATAAGAAATCACAGTCTCCTAAGTCATATCTCAAATGTTTTGTTATAATCTACTTTGTGTTCTTATCAATGTTCTAGCGTAATGGATTCTTTATTATCTTAGCTATAAATTCAGCATAAAAAATGTGACGTGTGACCTAAGATGACTACTCCTTTTATTCACATACAAGAGTCCTACTGGCCATAGTAATTACCTACATGGATATGAACTTTCATTGTTATATACAATCATTTTGTTGTACATATATGGACTTTTATTGTTAAAAAGAGGTATGAATTGTTTACCCAATTACTTATTTACTATGCTAGTCAAAAAGAATGTAGATCACTCCGTATAAGATGGTAGTCATATATTTAGACAAATATCATATGGCATATGAACAAAACAAAAAAAAATTAAAATGCTTTACAATAAAAAATATTTTTTATGAATTTGTTATCACAAAGTTTTTCCACTTACTCTCCACCATTCTGTGTTGTGCACCAATCTGTGGACAATGCATATAACCATTGCTTGTCATTAAGTTTTCCTCATCTTCAGGGTAACAAGTGGCATCCATGGATATTTAATAACAGGCTTCTTCCTCTTAGATCTCTTAACTAGAAGTTTTCCTTTCTCTTTGGCAACTATTCTCTCTTTAAATGTATCTGTGCCTGATTTCTCTTCATTTTGATGTTCAAATGCATCTCCCTTATATTTATATTCTTCTTAAGCCTCTTGAATTGCATCTTTCTCTTTATCCTCCTCCTCTTGTTGTTCCTCTATTTTTGTGTTTTTATCCTCCTCCTCTTGTTGTTCTTCTATTTCTGTTCTTGCATCATCCTTGTCCTTATCATCCTCCCCATCTTCATCCTCTTTATCATCCTTATCTTCTATATCTTCCTCATCCTTGTCATCTGTCACATCCCCATCTATTTCCTCTTCTTGTATGATATCCTACTTTGATTGTAACTCTAGCAGCTCATTAGCCATATAAGACATGACTCTCTCCTGTGCTTCCTTCATTTCCTACACAACATACAATATCTACTTATTCACAACAAAATATTCACAAACTAACACTAGGAAAACACACCTCTATATAAGCCTTCACTTTGACATACACATCCTTCCTATCCTACACAACAAAAGGTTCACTTATTCTTAACTTTAGGTTTACTTATTCATAATGATAGGTTCAAAAATACTGTTAACTTAAATTTATACACACTTTATCATGAAAAGGCAATAATTGGAGGCAGGTGGGTTGAGCCACTAGGGTTGGCATCATGGTTGGCTGGTCCTTTAGTGTATAAAAGGCCATGATAGCTTTGGTGCTCAACCTTGACCATTTCATTAACTCTTTCTTCAGTCCAGTACCCCATTGCATCACTAGCCCTGGCGTATAGCTTTGTTCATAGGAAAATTTTTGAAATAGAAAATCTGAAACATCAATTTAATGGTAGAATAATTATAATAATAAATGTGCATCATATTATGAAAAATAATGTAGCTTACTAATATGTAGAGGCATCCTCCAATATATTTTAGTGCCTTTGACTTCCCCTTCTTCACATGCTCCTTGTAGAGTTGAATATCTTAATTCAACTCTTCCAACGTAAAACTTATAATATCCTAAATTTCTAACTCCTGTACTAATACTGATTAGGGATTGAATTAGTGATTTAATGTGAGATTAGGACTCTAAATAGTAGGATGTTACATTGACTCATTGTGATGTTATTTGAGTAGATATGAACGAAAGAATGAAGTACCGAAGTAGAGCGTGTGAGCATAGCGAGCATTTCCCTTATTGTGCCATGTGCCACAACAGAGGATGGATATGCTATGGTGCATGGTGCAGAACTTTGATAAGTGACTTCATATTCTAGCTCGTGAAACAGAAGGGAAAGGAGGAAAAGAAGGTCCTGGCATAGAGAAGAGAGGGAGGCTTTGCTAAGGCAAAGATTTTCAAGAGAAAGGATGATATTTTTGACCTTTTACTTATCGAATAAGTCTCGTATTGCCTTAACCTCTGATTCTATCCTGTTTTCTCTTAGTTTAATTTATTGAGAAATTGAATTTGAAAGTTTTAAGGAGATGATTTCTTACCCTATAGTAAGAGAAAGGTTCTTTAGGACTAAACTAGTACTCTGTGACTGGTTTGAGTCAGAACAATAAAGCTTTAAAGCCATAGGTACAATTTGACCTAGTCTAGAGAGAGAGTAGTGAGAGAAATATGACTAGGTAAAGGTTAAAGTTGGTATTGAATGGTAATTGGGAGTAGAGCATGGAAATGGGCACAAATGAGGGGAATAGTATTGATTAAATGTTTAATTGTAATAATTGGCACTTTTTGTCAATGGTGAAATTGACTTTGGTTGCTAATTTTATGCAAATTCTAGCGTGTGATGCATAAATAGCGAAAGAAAGCTTGAATAAAATTGTGAAACATGGGTAACCCTTTCTATTGAATAGAAGAGTCGAGGTAACCATATAGTTTGTTATGTTTATTAACTAGTATAATTGTGTAAAAGTAAATGTATTATTGTTTTGTGAAGTTTTTATGCATGAAATCATATTGTGAACAATTCTAGCATGAAATTGATTTGTAAAATGAAAGTTTAATGATTTTTGATTTGGATTGATATATATGTATATGTGTGGTGAAAATTATGCAAAGAAAATATTGAAAAGTGTGTAAAAAGCATGATCATAGGGGGTGGGAGTTCACCCAAGGCATGTGTGGATGTATGTGTATGGAGGTATGAATGAATAAATCCATATAGTCGACTTGGCACCATAGGACATCTGGTGCAGCATATTATGGGCTGGTACCATAGGTAATCCAGTACAGCATATTATGGGACTGTTACTATGGGATATCCGGGCTGTCTGGCAACTCCCTAGTGCCCATTAGGGTACGGTTAGGAGTCAATAATGCCTCTATCACATGTGTATGAACTGAGGGAAATTGTAGTCCGTAGGTAGGATAGATTACCTTTGGCTAGGTGTATCTACCACTGAAAGTATGCTCAGGTCAATGAATGATTGATCCAGTGGAGCCTATGGTTTCATGTCAGGGAGCTTCGAAGGATCGATGGATAGATGATCATGCTGTTGTTCTTATTGTGTGAAAAGATTTGTGATAAAAAGAGAAGTTATGTTATTTTGTCTATATAAACTATTAAAATAGTTTTTGGTTACTTTCATGCTATTATCTGTGTTAGTAAATATTAAATAAACTATATTGGTTATTAAGATTTTAATCTCACCTGTGGTTACTAATATTTTTCAAGTTCTGGTGATATTGGTGCAAAAGGGAAGGAATTGGGCTGAGAATAGAGATTTTTCAATTAAGCCTTGTAAGAATTGGTGTAATGAATTTGTATATAAATAGTGGTTATATGTATAAGTTGCCATAAGAATCAATACTTTTGCATAACTTGTGAATAAGTGTGTGTATGTGTGATTTTTGAGATCTAGCCCATTGTATGTCTATATGTGTGTGTATGCAGTGAAAATAATGTTGTGGGCTAGTAGATATGTTTATATGTGTCTTGTGGGATTTGGTTGTGGATATGAATGAAAATGAGAAGGAGTTTAGCCTAAATTGTGTGTTATGGGCGGTTTACAGGTCAATTGTGTGTATGTGTGTTACATTGTTTATATAATTGTTCAATTAAGTGTATATTGTCCATTTGGATATGGTCAAGGCCTTAAAAGTGGCTAATGACTTTTGCTTTGAATTGGAGATGCTCAAGTGGCAAATTTTGACTTAAAATGGTCAAACTACATTTAGGTGTGCAATTTTAAAATGAGACATCAAATTTTAATGAAACTAGTGTCATTGGTTAGATTTTGAAACAAGCTTCATGTGGTCGCTTGAATAACTGTAATCGGACATTAGGTGTGAAAATGATGTACTTTCAAAGTTCATATCAGAATCTAAAATTTGACAGCAGATTCTGATATGTGTGTCGCGGTGCATGGGACAATGATGGGCAATGTGTTGCAGTGCATTACACAAAGAGTGACACTGGGGTCTCTGTGCTACATGTCGCAGCGCATGTGGCATGAGCGGTGGTGTACGGCCCCTATGTTGACTTAATTTAATTAAAATGCACATGTTTTTTTTATCTTTGATACACTTTTGCATATTGCTTCCACTGTGTAGGGTTTTATAGTCAAGTAATTTATGAAATGATTATAGAAATTTTTTATATGGGATCCCAAAGTTTTAAAATAAATGATTTTGAAGTGATTAGTAATTAGAAAAGAATTGTATGGTAATGTCAGTGAGGGCATTACAAAACTTGCCTAATCAAATTCTAACCATGCATTGTTTGTAAAAGCTAGCACCTTCAATGCCTTATTACTAATTCTAGGACTTCCACCGGGACAAAACAAAGTTCCCAATAAGAACAACAAAAAATAAAAATTGAACTTCTCATTCTCAAGTTCTAAAGTTATCTTATTCTTCAAATCATTGAATGACATTGTTGTATAATTTTTTTTCATGTCTACCACCAAGTCCTCATCATTCAAATCTACTGGCCTTCTAGCATTAGGTAGCCCCATAATTTGCTAAATATCTCTTGCTCTCACTAGTACTATTTTTCCCTTGTAGTCTTTTTCTTTGCCAAAGGATCATAAAATCGCATTATCTCCTAGCATAACTCTCTCAGGATTTTTACACCTTCGACATCCAACAATTTAGAAACCCAGCTACTTCAACCTTTTCTTTTAAATGCTCATTCTCTTTTATAAATTTGTAATTTCTTTGAATTTTGCCAGAGAACATTGAGTGTTGAAAAGAATTTTTTTTTTTGTTCTTACCTCTCTATGTTCAATGGCCTTAATTCTATATGGCTTCCTCTCTTCTCCACTCATTTTTTTTCCACATTTCAGCTGAAGTTTCATTTGAGTCACCTCCTTTTTTGTATTTCCCTTTATTACTTTCCAAGAATTCTCTTCTAAACTCATGCCGGCTTAAAATTGGAAATGGCTTTTTGGGTTTGTTTAGAGCCATTTTATGCTATGTACTTACACAAACTAGCAATCCAAAAATTTAGAGTTGACAAGCTCAAGTATTGGCAGAGTTAAAAAATTTACAACTTAAACTTTCCATATTCACAACTTCAAGTTCATCCCTTCACAAGTAAAACTCCACAATTTTTTACTTCACATTTTCAAAACTAAAGTTCATTGACAGTAAGTAAAACTTTCATTTTTTTTCACAACTATAAGTTCATAATTTATCAAGTATAAATTCATAGATTAACAAGTAAAAGTCCAGACTTTGTAGCTGTGGAGAATCAGAAATAACATTCAGTCACAGCAAGTACAACTTTCAAATTTTACAACCACAAGTTCATAGTTTCATAATATGGTTTTCATATATTAACAAGTAAATGTCAATTAGAAATGAAATTCTTATTTAAAGTTGACAAGTTATTGGCCAACTTCACAAATTTACATCTTAAAGTTTACTTATTCACAACTATATGTTCATCAATTCAAAATTAAAGGTCTAGAATTTCTAACTTCAAATAATTAGCAAAAATGTTCGGTGACAAGTTTCGAATCTTACAAATAGTAGTTTATAGTTTCACAATATTGGATTCACAAATCAACAAGTAAATATCTATTGCAGCGAAATTCTTGTTCAGAGGTGACAAATTGTTAGCCAAAATCAGAAATTTACAACTTATAAGATTTATATATTGACAACTGCAAGTTCATAAATTGACAAGTAAAACTCCAGATTTTCTAACTTCATGTAATCAGAATGTTCAATAACACCAAATGTAAGTTTTGAATTTTACTACTACAACTTTAGAGTTTTATAACTTTAGCTTGACATATTAACAAGTTAAAATCCATTGGCATTGAAAGTTGTGTTCAGAGTTAAAATACATGTAGAATAAGTTCACTAAATTACAACTTTTTTTTTTTGGTAAAGACACTAAATTACAACTTTAGTTTGAATATTCGCAACCATTGATTAATTAATTTACAATTCAAACTCCATCAAATTTAAACAAAACAAGAAGAAAAGCACAAAATCAAAAAAAAAATTAAAAGAGAAATGAAAAAATACAATTAAAAAAATATTACCTTATCAATCAAAGAAATCACAGTCCAGACTAGACTTTATTCCTACATATAAAAAAGTTCTTGTAAGCTGTCGGAGAAGTATCAAATAAAAAGATGTAGAGAAAGATAAAGAAGATGAAATGAAGGGTAATGAAAGACTGGGAAAAAAAATATCTTATCGCAAACCGCTACCCACTCACAAAGGCGTTCCTTTAGTCTCGAAAGTATAGATCTGCCCTGAAATTATCAGTGGCCAAAATCTTAAACCTAAAACACAGAGCCATAGAAGAGGTAGCAAGAGAAATGAGGAAGAAAGGAGACGATGCAGGTAAGAGAAGAGAGGACCAGCGAAAGCGTTCGCATTCGGTGCCGAGTGCTTATCAGAGCAAAAGCAATCATGGCCCTCCATTTCATACGAAATTAATCTCTGCCGTTAATTTAAATTATTTTTAAATTTTTTAATATTATATTTATTAAAATAAAAAATGTAAAAAAAATTTAATATTAAATTTAGACTATTTAGAGTACATTTAAATGATTAATTTATGAAATTTATAAATTTTTTAATATTAAATTAGGTCATCTAAATTATATCTGAACTATGCACAGTTTATCTGGATAGTCAAATTGTAAAATTGTAAATTTTTAATATTAAATTAGACAACTAATTAAATCTGTACTGGCCAAATTAATAATCAACAGATTTATCAAAATTTAAAAGTTTTTATATTTTTTTATCTTAATAAATATAGAATTAAAAAAATTAAAATTTAATTTAAATGAACGAGATCAATTTAAAGTAAAATGGAGGGCAAAAAGCATGCGGTGTTCATCACCAAATGCAATCGCCCTGCGAAATTGATAAAATGCTTGAGGGAATTATTTTAGTTAGGGTAAATTATGCAAAACTTTCTTAAATTTTAAGAAAATTATATGAATATGTTACTTTTTAAAAATTTAAAATCAACTTTCTTAATTTTATATTTTTTTCAATAGACTACTATACTATTAATTTTTAATTATCTTATTAGCATAAATTTTCATGTTATATTTAAAAAATACTTAGCAAATGACTTCCAATATAAGCTAGTGATAATTTTACAAAAATTTTATTTATATTTTAATAATAATAATATTATTATTATTAGTTTATAGGATGTCACAAAAAATTATGTGTCTTTTTAAATATAAAATAACAACTTCTATTTGTAAAATAATTAAAAAAATAAAAGGAAGTCTCTTATAAAAAAATAAAAGGATTGGAAAGTTAATTTTAAACATTTAAAAATTAGGGGGTTATGTATACTTGCCTCAAAATTAAGAAATTTTTTATATATTTTAGTCTTTAATTTAATATGTTTTTTTATTGAGTATTGGTGTAATCAATTTGAGACATAGTCAGATATTAAATGTGGCACTTCTTTTAGTGACAATTCAAACTTTGGTTGATTAAATTGTAAGAAACTAGCCCCTAAAACTATACTCGTGTTAGTCCCATCTTTAGGAAAAATAATTTTTTAGGTTTTATACTTTGCTTGCTATTTATTATAGTTTTCTATGTTTTTTTTTTTTATATTTCAAGTTCATATACTTTTCTTTATTTACAACGTTAACTCTTATAATTTTAAAGGGATGTTGATGTGTCACAAATGATGTTAAAATTATAAACATATTCACTAATATTGTTAAATTTATTTTGATATGTTAAATGGGTGATAAGTTAAACTTTTTAATAAGTGAAATAAATTAAAAAAGCCCCATCATATTAGGGGGAAACAAGGTCCGTTTAAACGATCAGCCAAGAGGGGCTAAGCACATCCTTTTAAGCTGAGCATTTATTTTGTGTGTTGTGACTTTTTTACTTTGTTTTTTTATTGAAAAATCTAACTCAATGTACGTTTAACATATCAATATAAACTTAACGTGGTTAGATATGTCAATAATCTTAATACTTCTTATGCTATGTCACCGTCTCTCTTAAATTATAGGCGGATAAAAATATGGAAACCTAGAACATAGTAAAATATTGATGGACTTACAATAAAACTCTAATAAAATATAAAGACAAAAATGGTGTTTTACCTTCAATTTAATATCATTAATGAAAAATAGAGAGGAAACAGAAGAGTTTGAAAAATAAGAGTTGAGACGAAACCGAGACACAAGGGAGAAGTTAATGAGTGGTACTGTATTGATAGGATATTACAAATTAATATTAAAATATTATTAGTAAAGATGATAGACTGATAGTACACGAAAAGCACGAAATTTTTAAAAAATTTTAAAAATAAATGGGGACAATTAGAGGAAAAAAATTCTCAAAATACCCAAATGACAATAAAATCACATAAAATAAATAATTCTTCTCAAATCTCTCTAAATCCTTTTGATATTAATAATTTTTTTAAAATGACTAAAATATCTCAGTTTAAAATCTAAAAAAAGTAATATCTCTTGCAAAAAAATTAAATATAAGTGATTATTTTAATTAAACTAATTACTACTTTTATTTTGATAATGATAAGAATATAATAAGTGATCACAACTTTTCTCACACAAATTTTTGATCTACTAGAGTCTAAGTATTATAAATATCTATAATTACTTTAGTTTAATCAATGTCAACTTTTATTCTAACAATGTTTAAAACGGATCAAGTAATTTTAACTTTTCTTGTACAAATTTTTCGTTCATTGAAATTTAAGTGTTATAAATATTTGTGCCTAAGCAATTATTACTTTTTTGAAAATAATGATTAGAATATGACAAACAATTGCAAATTTTGATTCACTAAAATCATATTGTAAATATTCATAACCACTTTAATTTAAACAATTGCTATTTTTCTTTTCACAATGACTAAAGCAAAACAAGTAATTACTACTCTAGTTTAAACTAGATGTATTTTAGTCATTTTATTAAAAATCATTAATGTCAGAAGAATTGGTAGGGACTTGAGAATAATTATAACATTTTATAGGATCTCATTATTATTTGCATATTGAAAATATTTTTCTATCATTTTCCCAAATAAATAATATATTGAGTTATAAGAAAATAAGTTTTATTATATATAATTTATTAAAATTAAAATATATTTCACTATAATTTAAAAATATATAAATATTATAAATAAGTTTTATCAAATATCTGACAACCCGTCAAAGCTTTGCAATGGCAACATAGGAAGAAACTTAAAATTTTGATCCAATGAATCAAAATAATTTAGAGTTGGTAATATGGGCTAATCTATAAGTTGTGGGTTAGCTCGTAACGAATTACAAATTTGGTAGAGTGGATTAGTATAACCTGTATCTTGGCAAGATATATTTTTGCCAACCCATGCAACCATGGGTGGCACTATGTGTAATTCAGGGGGGCAAATGCACCCCTTAAATTTAGAGAAAATTACAAGAAGTTATATGTTTTACTATTTTACATCTCTTGGTCCAAATATTTTGTACCCCTTAAATCAACTTTAAAGATGTTTGGGTTCTCAAAAAAATTTAAATATGTTTAGCTGAAACAAAAAAAAAATGATGCACGCCCTAACCCAAGGTTCTGGCACTGCCACTGTGCAATCTGCAGCGAGTTTGGCAGATTGGCCCAGTAAAACTTTTTTCTCTAATTTTTTAAATTTTAAAAAGTATAAATTCACCTCTTTTTATTATTTTAATTAAACTAATTACTACTTTTACTTTGGTAATAATAAGATAGAATAAGTAATTACAACTTTTCTCATGCAAATTTTTGATTCACTCAAGTCTAAATGTTATAAATATCTATGATTACTTTAATGTAACCAATGTCAACTTTTATTCTAACCATGTTTAAATGGAACAAGTAATTTCAACTTTTTTTGTGCACATCTTTCATTTGTTGAAATTTAAGTGTTATAAATATTTGTGACTGTTTTAGTATAAGCAATGATTATTTTTCTTCAAATAATGATTAGAATATGACAAACAATTACAACTTCTTTTATGCAAATTTGGATTCACTAAAATCATATTGTAAGTATCAATAAATACTTTAATTTAAACAATTACTATTTTTCTTTTGACAATGACTAAAACAAAACAAGTAATTACTACTCTAGTTTAAACTAGTATATTTTAGTCATTTTATCAAAAATTATTAATGTCAGAAAGAGTGGTTGGGATGGAGAATTACTATACATTTCTTGGGATCTCATTGTTATTTGTATATTTGAAAATATTTTTTCTGTCATTTCCCAAATAAATAATATATTGAGTTATAAGAAAATAAGCTTTAATATATCTAATTTAAACTTAAAATATATTTCACTATAATTTAAAAATATATAAATATTATAAATAAGTTTTATCAAATATCTAACTTCCCATCAATGCTTTACAGGAACATAGGAAGAAACTTAAAATTCTAGTCGAATGAATAGAAAAAATTCAGAGTTAGTAATATGAGCCAATTTGTGAGTTGTGAGTTAACTTGCAGTGAATTACAAGTTTGATAAAATGGGCTAGTATAACTCGCACCCTGGCGGGTTATAATTTTGCCAACTCGTGCAACCCGCAACAGGTTAGCAGGTTGTCTAGTAAAAATATTTTTTTTTTTTTTATTTTAAAAAGTATAAAGTTTCCTCTCCTTTTTTTGCAATAGCAAAATCATATTTTTCCACTTAAAAGTTAATTATCCAAATAACAATGAAAGTTCTTCTAAATCATTAAAAAACATAATAAATTTAAAATATATTAATGCAATCCAAAATAAATATATACTTTATCATAAACAAAATATAGTAAAACGTTGAAATTGCAATCCAAAGTTTAAAGATAAATTTTGCAATGGAAAAATTAATAACACAGTAATCTCCATAACAGTGCATGACAAAATGCCTAGATATCACTAAAAAAGGGGAAAAGAAGATAAATTTTGTAATAAATTATATGATCAGAAGGATAAAAAATAATGATGACCAGAAGATATTGGATTTGGAGCATAAAACTAAAGATAACATAGTAAGGTCTCCATAAACTTGTTTTCAAATGTATTACTTCCATAATGTATATTATTTTTTGGAATAAGAATTCCTTTCCAAGCTCAAGGCACATGAAAAAGAAATTCTTTTCAAGTAATATTGAAACGTTAAAAAAAAATATGAGCTAACCCACCGACCTGTAGGTTATTCTTGTTGTGGATTCAAGTTATGTGATACAAGTCAAAATGTCTCACATCTAAATCAATCAATATTACCAGCTCTATCAAAAGATTGAACAAGATGGTGTGAGTTTCCAAACACAAGCCACGTGAAGAAGCAAACACATGAAGAGAAACCAAAAATGAAGATGACATATGA